ACATCGTTAAAATACACGTTTTTGTTTCAGCCTTGACAAAGGTGCTTTCGTAGTTTTCTTATCTGCTTTCAGTACTCATCTCTTGATATAAAAGCATGCTAACTCTGGTATTTGGGTAAAGCTCTGCTGACACAGATTCAGCAGATGGAGCTAGTGTGCTTCTAATCTTTGACAGCTGTGCCTTCCGTGAAAAAGATGAGCACACAAGTATACAGGATTGTCTAGGATCTGTCATGGTCAGCACGGTGAAGATTTTCTTTCAGCTTAATGAAAAAGTAGCAAAAAGTAAAGGGAATTAACTATCCTTTCTTAAGCACTAGTGGCTGTGAAGAGTGCAGCTGTGTGACACGGATGATTTATTTCAGAATAGCAAAAATCTGAGAGGTATATAAAATAGTGTAGATGTCTCCCAGGGTTTTATGATATCCTGTTCTGTCACTGTTCCTGTCACGTAGTAGTACACCACTCATAAAGTGACGTTAAATATTAATTAATTCAGAGAACACGTGGCTGAGTCTTTAGACCTAATGCAACATGTTGGTCATATTGGACAACAGTGAACATGGAGATGTCTCTGTGGAGCTGAAGCCAATTACTTCAAACCTGCATTGATGTGAAGAAAATATTTCAGTTGTATTCAGTGACAAGGACATCACACAGCTATTGACACTTATAGATATCTTAATGTAGGAAGATATTAGAACCATCCCTATTGCTAGCAGAATAGAAGTAAGATGCTTGCCAGTTAGTAACAATTGCCAGTTAGTAAACCCACTTCTAAAACCATGAATTTCCATAGTTAAATCCATGTTTCCTGTCTCCAGATTTACCTTCAACCTCCTCAGCGGGCAGGACACAGATTACAGTGAGGGTCTATCCAGAGTTCACTGTAGATGCCCCAACCCCAGAGGCATTCAATGCCAGGTTGGATGGAGCCCTGGGCAGCCTCATTTAGAGGGTGGCAGCCCTGCCCAGGGCAGGGGATTGGAACTAGATTACCCTTGAGGTCCATTCCAAACCAAGTCATTCTGTGATACGTGTTCGTAACAATATTTTCTAATTTTTCCAACCTAATTTTGAAGATCCTTTAATCCAAAGGGTGCTCTTGTGATGGGAGCTGTCACTGAATGAAGGCCCCTAGCTGTTCACACAGCTAGAAGCTGCCCTGTCTCCTTGTATAGGGAAAGAACTTGCCCTATTAACACTCTCTGGTAACTTTATTTCAGGAGCTATGTGGAGTAGGGAGCTATGTGCTATTTTCAAATTTAATATGCAATATTGGCACTATCAGGCTGGACCTTCTCTACAGCTCTTTGGTTTTTACACTGTGATTTATTATAGAGCATTATTAGAGCAGTGTGAGAGTTTCAGAGCTGTCATTGGTCATTGTTACAGCAGCATAACACTGACAAGCAACTGATGGAAAGAGAGGTTTTATTGCTACACTGCTCTCTCCTTGTTGCCCATTTAGGTCTTCAGATTCTGTAAATTAACAACTCCAGACTCTGCTGAATTCATAAGCAAAGTTTCCATGGGTATAAAGCAAGGCATTAGTCTGTCATCTACATGTCTGATACTGAAAGGACAATTCTGGCTTTTTATAAACTACTTGCTGCAGCAACAACTGTGTCTTAATATACAGTTCTGCATACACATACATAAAATTAAAGTCCTGGTTTTGAGTTCATGTTGTGATTTCATGACCTAATTTGAATTTGGCTGACTTTAAAAGATTCTTTCCTACAGATTTCTATTTATTGCTAGTATTTCAAGACTTTGTTCCTCATGTCCATAAGACCATGACTATTTCAAATCTCTGTTGAAGTTTACTGATCTCTGATACCAGGAGCGTAGTGTAAGATGTACTTAGTAATGGAACATTCTCATGTCTGATATTCAAATACAGTGCATATCCAGCACTAATTACACATAAAAGTGTTATTTGCTGTAAAGGAGCAAACATTGCAAAGTGTTGATGAATTTTCTTTGTTACTATAAGTTCCTAGCTATGGCAATGAATCTCAACTGGAAATAAGGATTTTTTACTACTTTTATTATTCAGTATTATCATTATATTACTATTATCATTCAGTATTTCTGAATGACTAGTCCTTGCATTGCTTGTTGTCACAGTCTCTAAAGCAGTACTTGTGCTAATTGCCTTTTGTAAATTCCTTTAAATTAGTGAATGGAAAGTGATCTATGAAACTTGGGTTTAACATTGCACTTCTATCCACAAAATATTTTCAGCCATCAATCTCATCTGGCTTCAGGTGTCCCCAGGCTTCTGTACTACTAATGGAGAGTGCCCTGCAAAGTAAGATTCAAAATACATATGGCGAACGTGCTGTGGTCTCCACATTCTCTCTCCCCATTGTGGCTGTAAAGAGTGCCTAAGGAGATTATCTTCTACTTCAAGAGATGTGATATCTCTCTCACTCACCTCACCACTGCCTCTGAGACAAATTTTGAGCTTGGAGTTAATTGTACAAACTCTCAGAGAAATAACCCAGGGGGGCAGATTCTCTCTGCAACCAGCAGGATTAAAAAACAAAAAACAACACAAAAACGCAACACAGCAAGAAGTGTATTTAGAAACTGATTGAGAGCAGGAGACTAACATCAGCACAGCAGAGATGCACCTGCTTTCCCTTTGCATTTCTTAGTAGAAGGGGTAGCATGCTGTCCTTCCAAGAATAAGGTTAACTTTTGCAATAGGCAGACAGCAAGTTACATGAAAGAACTCAATTTTCACCCACCCTGACTCACAGCACTCACTAATTTCACCACGTATCCAAGCCAAAGTGATAGATTTCTTAAACAATTCCTTGTCTAAAGACTTCCAGAATGGGAATTATGGTCCCAGAAGTAAAGAATCTGCATTCAGACTGAGGCACTGTTAATACACAGATACTGCTAGGGAATAATTAAATAAATAACATACAGAATTATTTTCTGAATTGTAACAATAAAACTAAAAGTACTTTTGCTTCTTTATTACAGTGAATTTACAACTGACACAACCTTTGCAATGAAATATCACCTTGCTAATGCTATTGTTTAAAAACCCATGTGGGCTACCAAAACTGCATTATCCAGTAATCTATGAGGGTTGCTCTGAAAGTAATGCCTCCCTTTTTATTACTTTGGCACACAACATTAGAAGCAGATGTTGGTAGTAATGCGGTAGAGGTTGAACCTTCCCACCAATATTCCATTACGTTTTGTGGCTGTGAGACTGATGGCAGCAGAGGAGCAGTCTGACAAATGGCATCTGACATGGAAGTGCGTATGAGGCAAAAGAGCACCTCTGAACTCCTCCATGCAGAAATAAGGGCACCATCAACATTCATCAATGCTTGCTGACTATTTATGGAGACAAAATGGTGGATGCAAACACAGTGAGGTGGCAGATGGTGTGTTTTTGCAATGATTACAACCGTGTGAAAGACAAACCCATTTTGGATGGCCATAAAGTCTTTTAAAAGCACGGCATACAGGTTTCTGTTCATCCCTGGTAAAAATCCATAGTTAGTGAGGATGACAATGTAGAAAAATAGTATTTTGTAGCTGAGAACATGCTCTATCAAACAGCATTATTTAGCTCTTTGTCTGTGCTGTGTTCTCCACTGAAATTAATAGGAGGCATTACTTCTCATGAAAGCTATTTAGGTTATTCTACAAGTATTTATACACATAAAGCATTCCCTTCAAGCATTTATACACATTAATAACAAGTCTTCTCTTTGCTAGGCTTAACAATGATTTTTGTGCAGTGGTTTTCAAAGTGAGGCAATGTTCAGAGCCAGGAGATAGATACTGACAATTATACTATGATCACAGAAATTGTTTAACTGTTAAAATGGTTCCTGGCTACCTTACAGACTCTTAGGCCATCCAGATATCACTTGTGCAGAGATTCCAACACCTAAACCAAAGCTTACTCCTAGAAGGCAGGATAAGTGATGTTACACCAAGCTTGGCTCCCTCGTCACTCTGCAGTTATCCAAGTCTTTGTCAGAGGTCTGTGAACACTCTGACACTCCACATGCCCAGCTCTGGTGATAAAGCCTCATGTGAAAATGCTTCTTTCACTGGATCAACCTTAATTATGTTGAAAAACTCAGCCTCCCTCTAATCCTGTTACAGCTGTACTGTTTTATATGTCTCCCACCACAAACATTCATTTATTTAAAAAGTCTTATTTCAGAAAACACAAGATTGGGAAGAATTATTGCTGTAGAACTGTGGATGCTATAATTAAACACTGGTTAAGCTACACTGCAGAAATAAAAGAAAAAAAAAAGGATATGGATAGAGACTAATGGGACTGCCAAAGTAAGTAGGAACTTCAGGGGAAAAAAAGCCTAATGTAGAAATTCAAAGCCATCCTTGCTGCCTCACGTTTCACAAAGTCAACTTTACAAAAATGCTTGATAGAATGCATCAGCACTAATGTTGAAAAGCAGATTCAATGGGAAAAAAGAAAACATGCTCAACTTCCCATAGTGCCAGAAGAACATAATGATGAGAAGGAGGCTGTTTTCATCTGTGGAGTGACAGAAAACGTCTCAGAGGCCCTTGTTGCTTTTTAAAGTCTCAAAAATGGCGTTGATTAAAAAGTAACTATTCTCACTGCCACACTATTGATGAAAGTAACACATGGGATGCTCATCTCTCACTTGTGTCACAGCAGATGGTGCCTTGTGTATGATGTGGAGAGGAAGAAGTGTTATAGCACTTATGAACAAAAGATGTTGTAGAATCTGAAGATGAAGACATTGTATGCTGTCACTGATTTATTCATTAGCAAACTCTATGGCACATCTCCTTCAAGCGGAGCATGTAATAAGCTGATAGCAATGGTACAAAAGCCTCTGTATGAAAAAAAAGGAAGCCCTCCATAGAGAAACATGAAGCTAAATTTCATTTTAGAGTTACTGTACATTTTATCCATCCAGTATTAGATAAATGTCCAGCCATACATAAACTTTCATTTGTATTTATTCATTGTATTTATTTATTGGGAAGACTTAGATGTATATCTGCAAAAGAGGAATGAGGATTAAAAATATCCTTGAGGGACTGCACAAGTCAGCTTTCAGTCTCAGCTTTTTTCATGTTGCAGAAGTGCATCAGAAGCTGCGAGGTAGCAGAAATTCACATCTCCCTAATTGCCTGTACGAAACCTTTGAAGGGGAAACTAAAAGTACTGCAGAAACATCAGAAGTGTATTGACACAGCAAAGGAAGAACTAGTTGAGAAGATTTTCTTTTCATGATATAAGAACCAGCTTCAGATTTAAGAGATCCCAGGCTTCTTACAGTTTTCTTAGAGATCTCAGTGCTTTTTTCAGTAATAATTCAAGGAAAGGAGAACTTGCTCCTTTTTCCTGTGACCCAAGGAATACTCCAGATACACAGGTAAAGCTTTAGACCTGAAACAACCTACAAAGGCAAAAGCATAACATGAATCATAACTTACTGTTTTCTACAGAAACTTATAACCTGAGCCTTCCAAGTGATTGCCGGCAAATAAGCACAAAACTTTGAGCTTACTCTTCAAAGCACACACATTATAACACTGTAACACAATGGATAGCACAGCAATGACAACATAGTAGCAAAGTCTGAGGCTCCAGCACCTGAGGACTTGCTCAAAGAGAGCAACCATAGACACAGAAATAAAGGAAAGACTCTACTTACCCTTAAAAGGCCCCAAATGCACAGGGAACTCCAGCAAGATATCCTTACTTTCACTGCTAACCCTATGCAAGGTCTGTGAAGGGCTGTATCCTGACTCCACACCTTCTGGTTCACTCATGTGCATTGCATACACCTGAGATCCCCTAGATTGGCCCTGCCTTCAAACCAGGTGCTCAATCACTGCTTCACCCCATGACAGCATTCCCACTACACCCAGATGTGAACAAATACCCTTAAATATAAATATAAGTAAAGCCATTCTGAGACTGTGGCAAGTCAATGCGATCTTTAGGTCAGACTGTTTGATTATAAGCTTTAATCTCATGTTACTGCTAAACATCAGCAAAAAATTCTGCTGTGTGCCAGACAACCATAAATTGAATAATGATACCAAAATCTCCTAGCAGAAAGTCTGTATATACCATACTGCACCTTCAAAACTGTTTGAATTCTGGTATTGCAGATGGGATGTCCTTCTGTGGCTAAGACTGATACCCATTCAGTCTGTCTGTTCAGAATAATCTTATTTTTGGAAGGGGAAAGGGGGAACGCTTGAAATAAATGCTTTCAGGATAGCTGTCAGATTATATACATGACCAATGGAATGCTCTTCTTCTTTGAGTATCCTAGATGGAAGTAATAATAATAATAACAATAATCAGGAATTCACTTCATCCCTCTTGAGACCTATTTATTACAGCAGTGATTCTGCAATTGATAAGCTACTCTAAGGATTTAGTGAATCAAAATAGGAAAAGCCTGTTGGAATTTCCTTACATGCATCCTGGAGTTAAGACCCATTACTGCTAGCACACAGAATTACTGTGTCACTGGGAAGACTTTACTGATTTTATTAAGGGCAAGAATTAATGACAGCTACAAAGAACACCAATTCTAGACATAAATGAGCCAGAAAAATTCAAGCCTCCAGTCAGAGAGAGCAGGTATCAATCCATTTTAAAGATATCATCACTGCAGTTATGTACAGGCACTTTTTTTTTTCCCCCCATATTTATATAAGGGAAAATGTGTACATTTGTAGTTATTTTATTTACATACATACTTTTACTCAAGTATTTTATCCATTGCATCAAGAGTGGATTGCTTTCTAAGTTTGATGGATGGGCAAATAGATGTATTTGAGTTCAGGACTCAATAACTTCACTACTATGGTTTTTTTCATTTGTTTGTTTTTTTCTGCAAAGGCATAATGAATATTGGTTGTGCTTCCATCCTGGAAAATATTAAAGCAGCAACAACTCCAAGTCAAAGATATCTAATAGTCCTTCATGAAAAATAAATTAATCAATGGAACATGTCCAAATGTGTTGTTAGCTCTAGCTCTGGGAAATGGCTTTTACAGTAGTTTGAAACAAACACATACATCAGTGAAGGGTGAAGACTCAGTATGAATTTCTTTAGGTACTGTTACCCTGAGGGGTTGCTTTAAAAGGCTGTTTTTTATTGTCAAATTTTTGGTCTGTCATTTTTTTAATTTTTGTTCCACATTTTGGCATCTTTTCTTTCTTGTCTTGTCATCCTAAAATAATGATGCTTTTTCTGAGTTTTCCACAGAAGTGAGAGCAGCAAGCAGACATCATGTTAAACTGCAGTATGAAGTACCTGCTGTGTTGTGTGGATGTGGCTGTAGGGCCCAGAGAGTCTTTGGACTAAAGAGACAACTAATTAACGTGCACAGTGAGTTCCAGCTCTCCTGCCTTAGAGCTATATACTTTTTAGAGGAAAACAGTGCACTTGCTAAAAACAATCTATTTCTGCTTTACTGGCAGTTGTGACATACTGAAATGAAACCTGGAGGGTGAATGGAATGAATTAGCACCTGTTTGTTCCTTAGATCATCCTCATGAGTTTGGATGAATTGGTAGGTTTGAAGAATAACAGGGAATATTGTCCTTTCAGTCTTTCAGCTGAGTATCTATTGTGCTGGCAAATTAAAGGGTTGAGCTGATTTTCTCAGGGATATTCAGGTTTCACACAGTCCTCATGGAGACTTCTGCAGCTATCTTATTTGTGCTGTCTTTGGTCCAAAAAAATCTTAGAGACACTGAGGAATAAATTCAGAGGTCCATCTGAGCCAAAGGAGTGATTCATCATTAGGTGTGAAATGTTCATGTATGCCACAGAATCACAGAACCACAGAATGGTTGAAGTTCGAAGTGATCTGGTCTAACCTGAGCTCCAGCAGGGACATGAAAGTAGAGTGCCCAGGTCCACATCCAGGTGACTCTGGAAGATATCCAAGGAGACTCCACCACCTCTGGGCAACCTGTGCCAGTGCTGTCAACCACAGAGCACAGAATTGCTTCCTGATGCTTAGATGAAAGTTTCTGTTCCAGTTTGTGCCTATTGCCTCTTGCCTTGACATTAGGTACCACCACTGCAGAGAGCCTTGCACTTTGCCTTCAAATGTTTACAAACATTGACGAAATGCCCCTGAGCCTCTTGTTTCCAAGGCTGACCATTCCCAGTCTCACATGACAGGTGCTCCAGGATCTTGGTGGCCCTCTGCTGGAATCCCTTCAGTACGCTCACATCATTTTTGCACTGGACGACCCAGAACACAATTCTCTGGTACACCACAGAATCCTGTGTCCTATAAGCAGAAGAACAGCAAAGTTACTTGAACATTTACACTTTCTGAAGCAAATACAAAAATCCACTAATGCAATGGAAAAAAATACCAAAGCCTCAACCCCCAAAGTCTCAGTCTTACAAAAGCCCACAACAAAATGACAAAAATGCAAAACAGTGATACTCAGAAAAATAATTCTTAAATGTAATTAGGAGATTCAGTGCTCTCCACTTGTTTCTTCTAAAAAAATGCAAAACAACAGGATGCTGTCTCAGCTCTGTGGGAACACATTAAACAAGCAAGTGAAACCAGAGGCAGGGGATGGGCTGGTGTCACTTTCTGTGTTCAACATGTGACCCACAGGCAGTGCTGAGAGCTTTCCCTATCCAAGGAGAGAAGCAGAGGAGGAGCAGGGCTGGTTGCCTTTGATCCTGTTCACTGGGTCTCTGTTGTAATCTCAGCCTCTCCAAGGCCAGACATGCTAATGTCCAACATTAAGGGGTAATGTTTTCAGCACAGTGAATGCAAACATTTGATGTTATCTGACATGTGTCATGCTTCTCACAAAACAATGCAGAACTGAAAGACTTAAAAAGGCTTTATTTTTTATTTATTTCATAAATATTCATGAGAAAGAAGCATTGTTAACTGCTGATATTTTATTTATCCATTTTAATCAGCCCTGTATTTTAAAACTTAAACCATTTTGACTCTACTTAATATTATATAGTTATTGAAATAAAGTAAAAAATGTACTTGAAAACAAACTAGCCCACAGCTTTGGGCCCTAAGATGCTTTAATCTTTTTTTTTCTTCTTCCTTACAAAATCAGATGACAAATATGAACTTGATAACTGCTACTTTAGCTGTCAGATTTCTTTTAAGTTTCATTCAGCATTATCAGTGTTTCATCACCCTTGTCTGTGATTAAGAGAGATACCAGCTCTCTCATAACTCAAAAACAGGTCCTTCTGCTTCACAGTAGTTAATACCTTTTTTTTTTTCTCCCATAACTAAAATCTATTTTCTCTGTTAAACTTAAAGTTGTAGACTGTACATAGACTTACACAGAGGCTCTATAGAGACTGCCTCGAAAGCTAAGGTTAAAGATAGGAATCTGTAGAATGCTAAATGCACTTGAATACTGGGTTTGCAGCTGGTATAAGGGAATGTAAACAAGCAGTCTTCTGGCAGAAACCAAATATCCTTAGAGGGCTTCAGTCATAGTATGGTGATGAGATGCTTTTTCCTTGGTGCTATTATGCTCAAAATTCAGGTTTTCTCCTTTAAAAATACATCTTATGAATATTTAATATAAACTTTACAAGTAATACTATGTTTCTAATATCTGGTAGGAGAAACTGTAGCAAGATTTACCGAAGACTTGGATAAAATGGAGTCAGTGTGATTGGAGTAAAGGAGGAGAAAGGGTCACCCTTTCCTGAATACCACTTTTTTTGAAAGGTGCTCTCATAATTTTGCTGCTTTTTTCTAAATGAAGTAAAAAAGTGGAAATAAAGTAGCAGGATAGAAGCAGATATTAAAAATAAATTATTGTTTTACTGTTCTATACACCTGCATTAGAGTATTTTGTAGTGCTTATTACTGTAATGTTGCAGTAAATTTAGGTCTGCTCTGTGGGGGCGTTTAATGCATTTCAGTTGAGTCTTCTGTTCTTTTTCCTTTTCCCATTAGAGATCCAGTGCTCAAGATAAATCCCTTCATTTTGTTTCCTAGCCAGGTCTTCTTACTCAAGCTGTTTTAAGTGGGAAAGCTTTCTTGAAACTTTGCATCTATTCTGATGGTGGTTAGATATCTGGGAAAGCTGACTGCATCACTAAACTCTTCTGACTCTACATATTTTTTTCTCTCTTGTCTTCATGCCCCCTCTGTGAACTGCCTGGCTGCAGCATTCCCAAGCATGTCCCAGGTGACTTGTAAGAGATTTCATGTTGAAACATTAAGAAAAAACCCCAGAAAATTAGAGCACAATGAAGCACAAATTTCAAGTGTTTTCTGTTGCAACATTACTAAGAGGCAGTATTCAGTAGTCAGCAGAAGCCTCTCAAATTTCTGGAGCAGTAGTTTTCTGTAAAACTGGAATAATGAGAAAAAAATCCACATTAATTCTGCCTGATCTACCTAAGCAAGTTGTTCCAATTGCTCTAATACAAATTTTGTGCATAGAATGCAGGAAATTCACTCCAGAACTGTGCTACTGTAATACCTAGTAAGACCGTAGGAGAAGGCTCATTGCCCAACTGACATTAAAGTGCAGTGCTTTTACAAATCTCATGAGGCAACAGCTCCTAATCCCTAATTATTTCTGTGGATTACCTTGTTACAAGACTATGCTTTCTCAGTAGTGCATGTTTCTGCTTACTCCAGTATTGCAGTCTTTCATCTAATCTCTCAGCATTCATGAGCCAGGAGTGTGCGCTTGTAGCCCAGAAGGCCAAATGTATCTTGTGCTACATGGAAAGAGGGGTGGCCAGCAGGGAGAAGGGAGGTGATTGTTCCCCTTTACTTGGCTTTTGTCAAGCCCAATCTAGAGTACTGTGTCCAGGCCTGGAGCCCCCAGTGCAAGAAGGACTCAGAGTCCAGAGGAGAACCACTAAGATGATCAGAGGGCTGGAGAACCTCTCCTATGAAGAAAGGTTGGGGGGATCTCCAAGCTTGTTTAGCTTGGAGAAGGCTCCGGGGGGACCTCATTGTGGCCTTTGAAAACTTTAAGGGAGTGTATAAACAGGAGGGGAACAGATGTTTACAAGTGTGGATTGTGATAGGACAATGGGGAATGATTTAAAACTAAGAAAGGGGAGGTTCTATCTAAAGAATGATCTAATGATGTGTAAAATATAGATGTGTTTGCTTACACTCTTTTCTTCAGCCATTTATTTCAGCCTTCTTCTTAGGTCAACATTTTTTAACCTCTGTCTGAGACCCGCAGACAAGAGTAATTTCTAGATCTGACAGATATCATCAGCTTCATCCGTTTAGTTTTGTTTTAAGGACCCTTATTACAGACAAATCTACAAGGATATGCTTGTGAAACCCTAGTGTTCCACTGTTGATATGAGATTAAAAAGCCTGAAAATTCAGGGTGACATTCAGTACTCTGAATGACATGGGTTCCAGTATAATCCAGTCACCAGACTTGATATCTGAGGTCTTCAGTTCAATCCAGAGATGCAAGAACTTCAGTGTTTTTCGACAGAGAAGCTGGCAGTGGAAAATGAGACAGAGGAAAACAGTGTGTTTGAGCAGGATACATGCAGCTCCAATAGTTACCTTCCTGAAATCATACAAAAACTGATTTTCTGATCTGTAAATAATAAATAAGTATACTAAATATCTTTCAAAAGTGCCTTATAGTAAGATCTTGTATTTCTCAAACAAGCTCTGGCTTTTACTTTTACCAGGAATCTTCGTATACAAAAAGCAGAAAACACTCCTGGAACTTCTAGAGAATAAAACTTGTCAGCAGTATTTAGTTTTTACAAGACACTAGAGATAAACTATGGGAATTTGTTGCCATTCTAAACAACACATTAAGTCTGAGTATCTCAATTTCAGTCCACTAGAGGTCTGTGAAATTATTTATCAGAAACATTTTTATCTTTTTTTGCAGCAACCTTGCTGACTCTGATACAGTCAAAATGAAATAAGCTTTTGATCTAGTTCCTATTGTTCTCATTCAAAGAGAAGTCTACAGTCATATAGAGAACTTTTTAATAGACACAGCATTTGGCAGTCCAGGAAACAAGCCTGCCTACTTCTTTATTCTTAGATTTGCATTGGGAATTGCTCTAAGTACTACTGGACTAATATTTTATGTTGGAAAAAAATAAAGCTTTTCTTACAAATTGTTATTTTTTTAATAGGAAGAGAGTACCATGTGGAAAGGAGAGTTCATTAGCATGAAATGCCCACTATATCATAGTTCTTCATTGTGCTAAATTTACATATGAGGAAAAAGAGCCAAGATTCATGGCCTCACATGGCTAATGAGACCTTCCAGAGTACTGGAAGGACACAGGTGTCTATCTATTAGCATGTAGCACTGACTCTTTGACTTGCTTTCAAATTGCTTGTTAAGTTTCAAGGCTTTAGGTTCCAAATATGCCTGGGGTAATAGCTTTACGATCCTTATTTTCTTCTATACTAACCCATTTCCTTTAATTTCTATCCTAATTACAGTTAGATTAGAGCATATTTTATCCTTAATTTTATTCTGTATTTGTAGTCTCTGCAACTTGGCACATAAAAACAGCTAAAATAATGTTCTAAAAAGCATTAGTATATTTGCAGTTTTCACAAAAAAGACACTGTGTGGTGTTAACATTCAAGAGCAGGAGCACAGCATTACAAATCATAAGATAATTGCAGCTATTCAGAGAGATTCAGGTAGGCTCCATACATCCTAATCTTTAATCCCAGTTGCTGTAGTTCAAAGACAGTGATTGTTGAAGGCATAGGCAGCAGTAAAAATGATGGTATTCAAGAATGTCTGAATTAATTTGAATGTATTATTTTCATCTTCACTCAGGATCAAATGTTTTACTTGGTTTCTGTTAATTCTTTGTATTTGGTTTGTATTCAGCATTTGGTTCATTTGTGCATCACTAAATAGTTCCACTGCACAATGATTTTTATGTGCCTTGAAAATATAATTAATGTAAAGCTGAATATCATTGATAAATGGAGGCTACTTATCAGTATTTAGCATATAGGGAAACGCAAAAGGGAATAATGTAATTTGTCTGAAGCAATTAGTTGTCTGAATTAGAGATAAAGGATTAAGGATGCGACATTTAAAGAGCCAAACAGTGAATAAATATATTGAATGTTCAAAAGTACAGACGTAACACTTTTAGGTTGAAAGTGCCTTGTAAAATGATGGATGTCCTTATGCTTTGTATGGACAGACACAGATTACACAGCACTAAATGATGCCTAGGTGTGATATGCATAATTGCCTTGGAAATTAGTAGACAGGAAACACTGTAATGTGTTAAAGTCTTTAAACAATGATCATTTCAGCGCGTGTTTGCACTAAAGTCTTTGAGTGGAGATCCCCGGCACTGTTATGTTGGAAAACCAATATCTGAAGAGTAGATTCAATTACAGAACAAGTATCTGCACTGAAACAGGAATTCAACTCATTTTCCTTATTTGCATGAAAACATGGGTATAGCCATCATCACTACTATCATGAATAAGTTGTGATATGGTAATAAATAAGACTGCGTTTGAAATAATTGTTCATGAAAGTTTTTTTTGTAGAATAGAACATAGAAGATATCGGGATGGCTTTGTAAATTTGTTTCATGGGCAATTTCACAGCCTTTCTCTCCAGTTGAGAATTTGATAATTGATATTGATTGTTTCGAAAGTGAGTGCAGGAACGTGTGTAATGGTATCGCTATGGTCTATTTGCTTTACATGCATTGTAGCTGAGAAAATAAACAAGAGTCTCCATGTTAACAATTATGTCACAGAGAAGATAACTTTTGCATTTCTGGACCATGAGAATATAATATTTAGAAGAGATGAATCCTTGGTGCAGAATATAAATGCTTACTCCCGCTTGAATGTCTGCCTTCAGAGCCAGAGTGCAAGACCTCAGACTGAGCTGTTCTAATCCTTGATTATGGAAGATGAAAAACCAAACTGTAATATCCCTGAAGCTGTCCCTAGATTTCAACTCCATTTTTTTAACAGGTAATAAACACACAATGCTTAGTGTAGATCTACTGTACTGCTTGCTGTCTGATGAAGGATAATGTGTCTGTTTTGGCTGGCTGCTATGGCTATCAACCTGATCAAGAGGAAGAAAATCTGAATAAAGACATATTTTCTTCTGTCTGCAGCATGCACTCTGAGGAGGTCAACAGAAAGATCGTAGATGTCTTCATGCCACTCTATCCTCCTGTGCAGTGCAAGGATTTAATAACTGGGAAGAAAGAGCAGACACGTGCATCCAGCAATACTCTGTGGCTTGTATGTAGAAGCTATGGTAAAAATTAGCTGAGTGCTGTTCTTGTGGAAATGGTGGGCGGGACTTCAGACCAGTAATATGTATTTATCACACTGCATGTGAAAATGTAGCTTGTTGGCTACAGCTGATTTATTTTGTGTTAGTGACATTGCTCCTAATTTTATCAGGTGGGAAACTGGGAAGAGACTTTGATGAACTTTCTTTAAGCATTTTCTTAAAAGTTGTTTCTAGCTTCTTTATCTCTGGTCAGTCTGACTCTTTTAATTTGATGTTTCAGAGGACTGAAAGCATTTCCACAAAGAAGTATGTTCTATGCAAAGCAATTCTTTCTGACTCTTCTTTGAAACACTAAACTGACATGATGCATTTTAAAAATTGTACCAGAAGCAGATTACACCAAACATAGTAGTGTAATTCTCCAGGTTCTTTCAACCACCCTTGGCTTTTCTATATCCACCTCTTTCTAGAAAATGAACACATTACATTATTCTAATTGAATACCTGAACAAATTTCTGTTCTTATTCATACTAAGTTCCCAATAGTATACCTCAAGGTGTGTCCTCAAAGAAACACCTTTTTAACAAAAGCATGTAGCAGCTTACTATTGTATTGATCCCTCAAGAGGAATTTAACTTTTAATTAAGTGAAGCAGAGTATTTACTGTTCCTATATAGCTGATTAATCAGGGCTTTGCTAGTTGTATAGAGGAAAGAGACTAAATTAAATACACATTTAATGAGTTGATAGGGAATTGACCTCTGCTGTCATCTGGAGGGCAATATGTAAACACAATCACTGAGGGGATTGTTCCAGAGAGGTTAGATAATATCCCTTTAAAGACACCTTAAGCAGTGACAGATTGGTGTTAAGAAATGTAACCCACATGACTGAATGAGGAAATTCATGGAAATTGTTGAAGTTACCTCTAGATTATTAAAGATCACATTTGATGAAGCATCCAGTACAGCACAGTTTAGCCCTTAAGAAAGCCCTAAATGATGTTCAGGTCCCCTGATGCTAAAGTCCTTTGTAAAATATATGGTTTATCTAAGTATCACTTATTTTCCTGAATATCTGTGTTAAGAGTTCAGGCAATGAAAGATGGTCACTTTGTAGAAATATCAGTAAGAGATTTGTAGTCTGCACTGCAGTGAAACCAGTAGCAAAAACAGCAGTTATTTCTGTAGAAATGAAATTTCACCCAAGACCTTCATACTCCATCTCCACTGCAACAGAATCTTTGTGTCTGTGTTTCATTCAGAGAACTAACAACCAATTGTTTTGTCATTAAAGTCTTTTTAGTGGTATAAACAGATCTGTGTCTTAGCAAGTAAGTGGCTGGAGAAAAAAAGTGGCTGTATTAGGGTTCTGGTAACTTAAAGACAGGAAGTTTCTTGGCCTATCATTCTTCTAGAAAAAAAAAAAAAAAAAAAAAGTACTTTGCTGGATGGCTGTTACACATTCTAAATGAACGAGATATAATATTTTATGATGGGGTTCATATTGATAAAAACATTTCAGAAGTATTTAGCTTCTCACAAATAGAACAAATATGAGTTTTATTTTATGAGAAAAAGTTTTGATGGCATTTTTCTTGAATTAGGAAAATATCGTGTTAAAGCAATATTAATAAATGCTTCCTCAACCACTCAATCAGTGGAAGAAATATTACTTCAACCTTTACATTATCTTCTTTCCTCTGGACATTTTGATTAAATGGGCATGTGGTCTTTATTCTCAGGACAGCAAAATTAACCTCAGTGATTAAAGGGTGACTCTGCCCTCCTTTCTGCCTTAGGCGCTACTCTAGTGACACGACTAGAAAGTAATTATCTTGACTCTATGAAAAGGAAGTTAATGAATCGGAAAGTATTATTGGAACATAGCCCTTACTAACTAATATACACATTTACCTACAAAACAATGTCCTTGGAAAACCTGCTGTAATAATGGCAGAGTTTCAAAGGGAATCCCCTTAGACATTTCCTAACTTTTTTTTAATGTATGCAATTGTACACTGACCTGCAGATACAGAGTCATGAAATCATAAAAAGTAAAATTCCAGAGAAAACTTTCAAGAAGCCTTGTAGGACTGAAAGTCAAATTAGTTTATGAAAGAGCTTATGCTTGATAAATAGTGACTGGTCTGTGGTACTTTGACTGCCTATTTAACTTTCAGGGTGATAATCAAGCCCTTCAGATTCCCACTTCTTTTGAGCAAAATGCTCATAACTATTCACATAAATAAGCTTGTAGAGAAAATAAAACCAAGGGACTTTAAAAATTGCAACAGATATTTACAGGGAATTCACAAAGATAATAAATAAGTAGGTTTCATACAGATATAGCTAAGTAGCTATGTGGGAAAGGACAAAGATAATAAATAAGTAGGTTTCATACAGATATAGCTAAGTAGCTATGTGGGAAAGGATTTGCTCTCCTTTGTTTTCTGCTAAGAAATGCATGTTGGATGGAGGTGGAGATGAATGGCTCAGAATTTTTATAAATTGTGGGAAGAAGTCATGGTCTTCCTATGGAACACTAAAACATATTCTGCAGCTGCAGAATATGAACCTGAATAAAGCTACCTCTGTACCCCGACCTCAGCATTCCCAGTGTGTAGGGAAGAGGAGAATGCTACTCTGTTGCTTCTTCCAGACACTGAGTTCCCAGAAACTGTGCCAGAATGTAGTCAACTAGCAAAGCCTGCCTGATTTACACCTACAACCAGAAATGAGTAGCTTATTTTTACCTTCTGAAAGAAGGGGAGAAATTTTCTGAAAGTCCCCACCAATTTAGGTTATCACGATGCAAACAAACAACTTAGATAACCTTGTCTTGGCATTCTTTTCCATGAATGGTTGGATCAGATGATTTGGCTCCCTTCCAACATAGGCTGTCATGATTTTGTGATTCTACTTCTTAGAAAAGATGATGTTGCTCTTTCCACTTCTTGATGGGAAGTGCTGTGAAATTTGTCTTCCTGGGTACAGGAATACAGTTGTGTTCGTTGTATCACCAGTTTGCATTTGTAAGTCCCTGATTTGTGAGCTGGATAACTTGAGACAGCAGGGTCAGGTTGTTAGCTAAGTTTCATTTGAAGTCTCTTTCACACATAGATTATTATAGCAGATGTGTTCATCTTCTCTTTGGCATGAGGTTTAAACTATACTGTTGCAAGTTCTGCAGGTCCAAGCACAGATGGTAATATAAAAACCTACGCTGGGAGATGCCCATAAACCAGGATATTGCTGAGACCTGAGCTCAGAGATTCTTGTTCTGATCATATTTGCTCATGTGAAGGTACCAGTGCACCTGGAGTCTCTGTGCCTAACTCTGAAGAGGAGTGGTCATTTCTATGACCACTTCAATGAATGAGTTTTTTACTCCAGTGCTTCTGATATGCTTGTTGTCTGTCTAGCATGGTCAGGCCTGTCTTTTGGATGGAAGGAGACAAAATCTTACCCCTCATTCTATAAGCGAAGATGACTGTATTGACTTGACACGCAGGGTAACTCTGAGAATTTAACAATTTCTGGGTAAAAAGAGAATATTTTTGTGCTTGATTTCTTTTCCTTTCATTCTCAACAGGTACGAGCATAATTTAATCTGAAAAAAAAGCCACACTGTGAGCAAATACTTTGAGCCATTATTACTGTATTATAATGGATACACCTCAAGCAAAAGCAGAATTTCTGAGGTTGCTTTAATGACTGCATCTTGCCAGCAGATTGGTTTGTATTTTGTGAGCTCTTTTCCCACTTTAGTTCCTTCTGTTCACAGATATTCATAAATAACAACTTAGGGAGTGATTTATTGCTCCAAAGTATTGTCTTTACCACATCAATTAAATAAATACACATCAAACATAATGATAATTGTCTGATGCTCCTCTGGGTTCACTCCCTGGCCTTCTGTTCTGTGTAGTTCATATAATTTGTATCTGTAGATTATGATGATAAACAATCAGGATTGTGGAAGAGATACATTTTGCTTAACATCAACATATTTCAGCCTCTATTAGTGACAGTGTTTTGCTGAAGAGAACTGAATGTCCATAAACCACCTGTCCTTTAGGGGAGTTTGGGTTTAGCACTTGAAACTCTTAGCTCAGTAACTACTTTTAAAAAGTAAAATTACTTTTACTTTGATTAATACATTATATAATAAAGACACTGCTTTTCATTTCTATAGAAGAAAGTAGGTATTTATCTCTCTTTTTGTTTCTTACACAAAGGGTAGATGAAAATGAGAGGAGATGTTCATATGCTTTTCAATCAATCTCTATTAATAGGAAAATACATTTATTTTCACATATTTCCTATTACCAAGAACTAATAACAAAAATTCTAATTAGTGTTATGCATGGCTCTTTTGAACGAATCTGCACTCTACACATTTTTAATTAATCCCTATCATTCATATTTCTAATTAAAGTGCAATAATACTTTGAGAAGTTGCTGCTTAAAATGGCTGAGAGGGGGCAATGTCAATAATTGTTTTTATTTCTTAGCGTCATAATGAATTCTATTTAAAATGTATCAGGAAAATTAATTTTTAAAATATACAGCTATGCAAATTTAATCAGATTTGGAATTCAACAGGGGAATATTTTCTAATTTTCAGCATACTATCTATAATAATTTTTTTGTAAGGAGATTTTATGAACAAATTCATTGATGCCACATAAGCCAGAAAATAATCTGCGCCTTTTACATTCGTGTGCTATTTGTTGTGATTAGAAAGGGGCAATTTTTTTTTTCATATGCATTCATAGATGTTAAAATGCAGTTCATAAACACACACAAAAAGCATGAAAAATAAATCATGCATTAGGCAGGATGTACCTACGTGTTCTTGTTCTTGTATAGACCTTTGTTTGGCTCATGTTCCCCTTGTAATCCATTACAAAGTGCATATCTTTTCTGCAGAACTGCTGTATAGGCAATCATTCCTGATCCCATGTCATGTAATTGATTATTCTTGGCTATATATGCGTGCTCCTCCCTGCTGAACTATATTATTATTCCTTTTCCAGTCTGGTTTGCCTATTTGTCAAGATTGTATTGCATTCTAATGCTGCTATCTAATGTAGTAGCAGTGTATAGGGCGATATCACCTGCTGGTTCAGTGAAAATAATCTCTCTTCTACCATTGAGATCTCTAATAAATATATTAATTAATACTAGACCAAGGGAAGAACTCTTCAAAACCATTCATTCTGTATTGTTCTGATCATGAACCAGTGATATTCTCTATCATCTAAGATTTTTACAAGCATTTTTGCCATTTGCAAGTTATTTTGTAATAGTTTTATCTGTACCTTACTTCCATATCCTATTTATAATAATGTCAAGTAAAAAATTCTCAAGATCTTACTCTATTTGGAAAAGAGAGGAAATTAACTACTGAGAAGTAATTAACCTCACCAGCTTACTGGAAAAACTGATTTAAGAGGTTTTATATCTGTTAGACCAATATGCACTTTTCCTCCTCTATTTTTCACTTCAGGGCTCTTTCAGCTGGCTGGACATTACAATGGTTGATGGCTTCTCAGCTCCCACCCCACAATTCTGTTTAGAGATAAGTCTGTATCATCAGGTATCTCGCTTACCCTCTTTAAGCTCCCTAAAACAACTGATAATGCATCTGAGACTGCCTGACTCCATTCTTTCAGATTGTGAAGTCAAATTCATCAGGTTTTGCCATTCAAAAACATTTGACTTATATAAGTATCTTGAAGCCTGTTGTTTCTTTACTTTTTTTGTCCCTACTACCTCTCTCCCCTCCCCTCAGATAATACAAGGAAATGTATAAATGATTAGAGCTAAAAGACCAGACATTCCACATACAAATAATTCTGTGAAGCTTAAATCTTTTAGCCTCTACTAAATATATTGTTAATAGAGCCCCTACTAGGCTATATTAATGATTTAATTTCCAGATATAAAAAATGAGGCAAAATAGCTGTGAAATGAAGAACTCTCCTGTGAAATTGTTTCATTTCACACTCAAGAATACATTCATCTTATCATGACAAGAGGTCAGCAAATCTAAGCTGAAATACTGTTTTAGTGTTGATAAGGTTCAACTTTATCCCATTAATCCATTTCCAGTTATCTTGTAGATAGAAGGTATTACACTGCAGCCTCAAAGATGGATGGAAAGCAATATCATCGCCATACATTTGCCAACAAAATACCTTAAGAGGCACTGTAGAAACACTAAGGATTACCACTGTATTTTAAGTATGGGACCTTGTCAACGGTTTATGGGCTGGTTTGTCCTGGTTCGGTGACTAGCAGGGTAGAGGGATCTGTGGATCCATGCCTCTGGAAATAGGGGACCTCAAAATAATTGAAAACAGCGGCAATGATCTGAGGTGAAACAAATTTACTAAATATAGTATCAGAATGCAAGATAATGCAATATAATGGAAGTTAATAAATCAAAATATAATGAGAGAGAGAGAGTGTCTGAAAAGTGGATAGGCCTCACCGCAGTGCTGAGGTGAGATGTGCAGTCCAGCTGAGCTGATGAAGAAAAGCAGGTGGAGAAGAGCAGATGAAGAAGCGCAGGCAAAGAAGCGCAGGTGAAGAAGAGAACATCAGGTGACCTTATCAGGAGTTGTATCTCCTCACTGATCGCAAAGCCCCCTGGGGAATGTAGCTCTTCTCCTCCTCCAGACAGGCACCTGGAACTTGAGCATCAACAGTTAAACCCCCAGTGCATTACATGATGTTATGATGTGTAATACCCATAACCAAAAATCATAAAACCATGACAGACCTAGGGAAACTAGTGGTGTTTGAGAGGGCTAACAGCATACAGACTATTGTGGTTGCTGAGAGCTTAGTTACCTAAAATTAATCCTGTTTGAGAGAAGATTTCAGGATCAGGACATGTATTGTGACCTTCAGAATCAGCATTATTTGTGCAAAAACTTTGTTATTCTTACAGCATCATATTCCAATCTCAGAAACTTTTTAGACAACATCAAAAAAACTCATTTACAATGCTGGTATATAATAACCACTTCAGGAATATTTAATTGAAATGGTAAGCATGAAACATCTGCAGTTGTCAACATAACTTTATATATCTTATTAGCCCACAGCTTATGTTGTAAAACAACAGATTGCAGAACTTTTTTCCCTCTTGGAAAACTTCTCTACAAATATAAACTTTCTCTTTGCCACCTCAACTCTTTTCTCAGCCTTTTTTTCCCAACTGCAAGATGCTTATGCAGCTGCAGTATCAGTTGGCATCCTTTGATCTGGTGACCAATATGACCAGAACTGGACAGGTCTCAGGTCTTCATTTTTCTCTCCATCAACACTTGTTCAACCACAACCATAGGGTACATGGACTTTTGCCCAGCCTACAGACCAAACACGTACATCAGTGACATGGGTGGGTGCTGAGAGGAGCTGTGGTGTAAAGCTGATGGTACTGAGGTTCACCTGTGAATGGAAAAGCCTTGTGAGCTTTCCTTCTCACACAATTAATTGTTGAATTGTGTTCTATCTTCTTTATAAGTGGTACAGAATTACATCAGAGGATTAAACTGTTGAGTTTGGCTTCTCTGATATTTAAGCTACTGGTTATTTCTATACATGCATTAAAACAGAGATCCCTGTGAGACTACCCATAAGAATAACAGTTTAGGAGAAAAAGCTCCATTCTATTTGTTGAATAAAATAATTATTTCAGTGTTTATATTTTTTTTAGCTCTTTTTCCTTTTTTAGTCCCATCTGTTTATTAATCTAAAGGAATATAGAGATTTATCTTATTACTGACACGCTGATTTTGGTGTGTCTAGAAGCAACATTTGAGTGATATAATTAAACTTGGTGCTGAGACTGTTTTAATTACATTAATTTTAATTATATACAGTACATTTTAATTATGTAGACTGAGACAGGCAAATTTCCATCTATTAAGATGGTCTGCAACTCACATAATGGGACCCTATTTCTGTTTGTTAGTGTTACTTTTCTTGATGGCTTCATTATTGGTGGAAGGTGATTTTTTTTTTAATCCCACTTTAATTTGTATTTTTAAAAGGCACATTTGAAATCCACTTGACAATATTCCTTGCCCTGCACTGGAAGGATGCATTTTAAACCAAATATTCAAACTAGAGGAAAACAAAGGAAGCTCTCTGTGTGTTACCCAGTTCCTCTGTCACACATGACTTCCAAGGGCTGAACTGGGAAACCACTTTGAGTGTTTTTGAAACACCTGAGGAAAAATTATGTGTAATGTACGAATATTGCCCTATCTCTATGTTCACCACAAAAACTTCATGGCTATGCTCAAATGTGTTTTGAGAGGGAATGCATATTTACCATTAAAGATAGAATTCCCAAAATGGGCTTTCATCTCTGATACCTTTCTTAGATCTTGTTTTTATGTCCCTGATGTGGCCAAGGGCACATGTATCTTCTATCTGGAACATGGTAGTTTCTCTCCAGTCCTTGCAATGTTTCTATCCATGGTGTGCTGCTTGGACCATGGCTGCACTCTTGACATGTCCTGTCCTGTCCTTTGAAACGCAAGTTTCTCCTACCAAGTCTAAGGCTACTGATGACAGTACTGGGCTCAGAATCAAGAGTCTTATTCACAGAAGTCTCTCCGTATATTTTTGGTCTTACTTGGACATTGTACTGGAACTGATATAGTGTGTCCAGATCTGGAGGAGCATGCAGAGTTGTTTGAGTGGGTCCAGAGGAGGCTGTGAAGATGATCACAGGGCTGGAGCACCTCTCCTAAGAAAAAAAGCTGATGGAGTTGGTCTTGTTTAGCATGGAGAGGACAAGGCTCCAAAAGACCTCACTGCAGCCTTCAAGTGCTTAAAGGAAGCTTATAAACAGGAGAGAGAAAGACATTTTACAGGGGAAGACAGAGGTAGTACAAAGGGTAATAGTTTTAAACTAAAAAAAGGGAAGATTTATACTGGACATTAGAAGATGATTTTTTACTCAGAGGGTGGTGAGGCAGTTGCAAAGGCTGCTCAGAGAAGTTGTAGCTGACCCATCCCTGAGAGCACTCAAGGCCAGGCTGGATGGAATTCTGTGCAGCCTCATCTAGTGGGTAGCAGCCTGCCCACGGCAGGGAGTAGAAATTGGATGGGCTTTAAGGGCTCTTCCAACCCAAGCCATTTTGTGATTCTATGATTATTAGGATACAGTAACTGTTTCTTTGCATTTTGTAGTCTGCTTTGGATATAGATAGTGTTTAATTCTTGAAAACACTTACTAACACTGTAAGAAGCTGGTACATTCACAGCTGTCATTTACTTCTACTGCCTTTGTTTCCTAAACTGCAGTCTGACATTGAACTAACTCACTAAGTTTAGCCTTGACAACTGTCTCTCAAAGACCAATACTGCTTTATTGAACTTCCTTCACCATAGGATTTTGGAAATTTTTGTATTCTTTTATTTTGGAAGACTTAAATTCTCAAGTGAGAATAGTAAGTTAAACAAGCAATGAATTATGACTTTGAGAAGAGAAACAATCTCTTAACTAAATGAGTGTCTAGCTCTGGAGGATTATATTTGGATGCCTGTAACTAGTAGTCTAGAATTTGGACCATAAGTGTACATTCAAGTATACCAGAATGAACTAGGAGTTTATGTTTGGTCTTCAAAAAGGAACACAGCACTTAGTGAAGTTTTATGCAGTCAGATGAATGAATCCATCTCATCTCATTAAGTACCTCAATATATCATACCGTTCTATTTTAACTGCTTCCAGGTGGACATAATCCCTTCCCAGTTCAGATGACTGCTTCCTGTGTGTATATCTGACCTAAACCATTTTTGCAGAATGGGTAGGACAGTAATACCACAGATAAATCAGTGTGTATGAGGGAAAGGTGCAAGATTTTCAGTACAGAGATAGTTTGCAGTATGGAGATGATTTGCAGCTGAAGATAGCAAACTTTAGCCTTCAAGCAGAAACAGATAATTTAGCTTAGTCTTTAAATTCCCAGAATACTAAACTGTACAAAGTTATACACCGAAACATAAAAACTGGTCAGATGTTTTCTACTGAGATTTCAGTTCTTTCCCTCTCAGGAAAATCTTAATTTTGGTATTTCAAAATATTTAGTAATTAATTTAAAATGTAATTAAAACACAGATTTAACAAGGAAACATATGGTAGGTCTGATCCAGTACGGAGCAAAATAAATCTTTTCAGTGAAATGAAATAAAATACTTAAACTCAAATTGGTTTAAGAAAATATTCATAGGCAATTTTCCCTAGTTCATTGCCAATCCAGTAGTAGTCTGGGTTCCTTTCTACCTTATCAGCCATGCTCCCTGAAGCACTTTATTCCGCATTATGCAGTGTGGTTTTGCTCCAACCAAACTTTGCACTGTGAATCATAAGAAACATATCATTTCAGGAGAGATGATTTCTATGTCAAGCTTGGACCAGATAGAAAAGAGGCCTCATAGGACAGAATATCCGCATATGGGAGAGCTCAGTGAATATTGTCCTTTTTCCAATTTAAAAGTTTCTTCTGGAACTTCCACTCTGTAAAGTGTATTTGTACTCCAGAATATTATCATAATTTGGTAGAGTCAAATGGTTGACGTGACAGAACTGTCTTTGCAAAAGAGTTAATTGTGAGTTATTGGAAAACAACTGAAAAAAAATCACATTTAACTTCTTAGTTATTCCTTTGGCTCTTACACTGAACACTGCAACTGCAGAGAACAGTTCCAACAGCATTGCAAGTGCTTTTTCTTCTTTTTGCCATGATCATTAATTAATAGTACTAATGCTGAATTTCATCTTCTAATTTTATCATTAAGTCATTCAATACTAAGCTTTAACTTTGACTAACCTGAGTCAATCTTTGCAATGGATTGGCTTTGGTTAGATGTCAAGTTCCTACCCAGCTGCTTGTTTACTCAGCAGGATGGAATGCGGAAGGGGGAGAAAGCAAGGAAAAAAACATAAGCAAAAAAGACAGGGAAATCAATTACCAGTTACCATGGTGGTGAAACAGTTTTGACTTCTGGAAAATAAGTTTCTTATTTTTGCAATTATTTAAAATACTGACACTTTCTGCTGTATCCAGCATGGGGTAGCCCTGTTCTCTTTTCACAACGGCTTCCCTGTTAAGCCACTCTGCCACCAACACCTTGCCAGGTATATCATCAGCAAAGGCTGTCACTTAAAGCACAGTATCATTTTCATATCACTTATTAATGAGTGCACAGTTCAGTGAATACATCTGGTAAAAGTCAGTATGGATTCAGCTGATATCCACTACTTCTTGCACCTGTTCCTACATTTCCTTCCTCAAGTAATTACTTGTGTGCAGAAGGACTCTTTCCCACAGTGGTCAGGTATACGGATCTCCCTTAAAAAGGAATCCATTGAGACCTCAAGGAAATATGAGAAGGAAATATGAATATCTTTGCAAGGCATGACTTCACTTCTGCTTCGTGGCAAATAAAGGTATTTCACACTCATGTTCATTTGTAAGTTGCATTTTAATAGTCAGGTGCACTCTGCATCAGAAGATTGTGCTAGTCCATGCAGAAAAATTTAGTATGATAATCAAAAAGAATATGGATTTTCATAAAATTAAACCATTATACAGTCCTGTGAATTTAAACTTAGAAGGTGGAGTGTAGACATTTAAGTACATGTAATCAATGTGCTACAATAAAACTCTCTATAATGTGCTTCATACAGGCTGTGCCCTTGAATGCAGCATTACAGCTCTGTCCTGAGTCTCACAAGATGCTTCTTTGCTCAATATTGTTGAATGCACTTCACAAAGCAGTAAAAATCAGAAGGAATCCTTTTTGTTGACCCTCAATAGGTTCTGGTGACTTGTCAATAGCAGGATTAGACTTAAGGTTAATGCAAGAAGAAAAATGTATGCAAAACATCTCATACAGAAAATACTACATAAAGAGAAAGGAAAAATTGCAATGAAAATGAAGAGGACTGGGTGGACTCAAGACCAAAGAGCACAGAAAGAATGGAATATAGAAAATAGAGACATCAGAAGCAAGAAGAATAAAAAAAACTTTATTTAAGAGGAAAGAGTTCTTGTCCTTAACAAACTGAATGTTATGTTTTCAGTGTCTCCATTTTTCTGAGACTGGTGTACAGACTGGTGTAAAGGTGTTTAGGTACACAAGTTTCAAAACATAATTACATTGCAAGGCCTGGTTATACTCTTAAAGAACCTTGATTAAGGGTCAACACTGTTGTTACAGAGGAATTAAATTTTTTTGTCCCTTATTTTCTTGATGTTTTAATTGATACTACGGTAATGATAGTTTAAATGAAGACAAAACCACTTGTCCATCACCTGTAGTCCTCAAGAGGGAGAGGGACTCTGAAACAAGTGCTTATATCAACACAAGAGCTAAGGAAGGGTAACACTTCATACTGCTTGCCTCTTGCTGAATACTTATTTCCATAATGTTTTCCCCAACTTATATCTATGTATTTCTCACTCTGGAAATCCATTCTAGCTTGTTTTCAGGATGTAGGTTATAAGATGTATTGTGGCAGGATCTAATCTGTTGCTCTCAGCAGGATGACTTACCACTACAGGAATGATGTTGGAAAGATCTTGTTTTCACCTTGACTTTGTTTTTTCTTCTTCCAGATGGATTTTGCTCTTGCCTGTGCTATAGCCTAAATGGGAAACAAGCACAGAGAGAAGTCATTTTGCAGCACTGTGAATTTTTTTTTTGTTGTTTTGCATTTGCTTATACCATTTACAAGACTGATAGCTCTGATCACAGAAGAGCTCTGAACTCTAAGCAATCAAATCTGCAAGTTCCATTTTACTATCTCAATTAGAACACAGTATTACCAATGAATTAAAGAATAAATAGAGATGTGCTGACTTATTTGGAAAATTAATGGTGTTGGCTGTAAAGGAGAGTGGACAGAGCAGATGTTTGATGTTTGCCCTTGCATAACTAAACCACTGAAACTGGGATTAGATTTGAGAACAGGTATAATGTCTGAAACAAAAACATTTTCTGGTAGACTGGCTCACATCAGTCATATTCCACCATTCACACTGTTTCCAGCCACAGCAGTGCAGCAGTATTTTTCCAGGTGGGAGATGCCTGAGCTGATTATTTTGGAAAACAAGTTGCCGGAGGATATTTTGTCACTGCTTGCATAAAAAAAAAAAAAACAAAAAAAAACTTCACGTATGATTTATGCCACAAAAAAGACACTCACCCAAGCATAAATGAATATAAATAAAGTAAACAATTCTCTTTAGCAATATATTTTTTGGCAATATCAAAATAGTCATGTATTTCTGACAGGGGTCCAAACCATCAAATGCTCAGGCTATGCTTTGATTAGTCCCAGTGGAAATTAGCTCAGTAAGACTTGACAAAACCTAGGAAAGAAGTGATTATCCAATGAAGCACAAGAAATTAAAAAACAAATAAGTTTTTAATTAGGATAAAACATATTTTACATATATTTCTTCAAAAGAATCAGGAATCAAAAACATCTCACTGTGCTCCCAAATGGCCTAAAGGGTGAAGATAATCAAGTTGTAGGAGACCTGAAATAAAGTTCCAGATCTAGCAGATATTTGATTATAGAGGGTGAAACATCTCCAATTTTCACAGCCCAGAGACACGTCCTAGGAAGTGCCTACTGCTAGCCACTCTGTGGTCCACGGCTGATTTTCAGTTGGTGGAAGCCTTCAGATGCAGGAGATTTGGAATAAGCCCACCATGGCACCAAGCTGCTAATTGCAGCTACATGCTTACCTGAGCCATAAGCCGGTGAAGTTCAAGTCCGGTCACTAATAAGTGAAAGCAGGCAGTGACCATATACTCCCCACATTTTGCAGGTGCCTGGACTCCAAGGATTTTAAGGTGTCCCTCCATCAGTTTACTGAGGAGAAGAGCAAGCTTTGCCTTGCAGGTAAATGTCATGGATGCACTTCAAAGAAAGTAGAATCAGGATGACAGAATACCCTGAGTTGGAAAGGTCCCCTAAGGATCATCAAGTCCAAGTCCTTAGGCGTAGAGTTTATTCACTATGCATACAGATTACAAAACAGAGAAGGTGACACTGGAAATAAACCAGTCTGTGAGGTGATATCAAGGAACACAGCATGATTTTATGCACTCAGTTTAACTAAATTCTCCCTCCTATATCCCAGTGCTCTACAAATAATCATTATATCCCCAAACAACCATTCTTTTAAATAAAAAGGTGGTTATTCCTCTTAGCAGCTGATAATAGAGCTGTTTAGAAACATCAGTTTTCTTTCTTCCTTTCTTTTTTAACATTCATTAAGTGAATAGTACTGATATTGATTCAAAAACTGTTCCAGCAGGATTGTATAATCAAATCTATGCATCCTGAGTAAAGAGTACAGTTTTCAATAGCCAGTAGACCTGGCATTCATATACACACACGATCCTTTTCCCAAAACAAATTTAAAAAAGTACTTAAAATTGCAGTTTTAAACTAGACCTATCCATTATGAGATGGTGCTGCACTGTCCTGCCATACTGCAAGGATTAAGTGTGGACTCCATCCTTGGCTGGAGTGCTGTATGATGTCTCATGAGAAATGTAGTCTGATTGAGAGATCTGATCAATACAAGAAAAGAAAAAAATGTGAGCATTTAAGCATTATCTGTGCTGATATACTACAGCAGCATTTTCCACTACAAATCACAGGGGTATGGATTATTTTTCTAGTTACTGATGAGCATATTTTTCCCAGCAAAAACACATTTTGCTGTCAAATTCTAGTTTCAAGCAAATAAATTTCTTCAGCTGTTGCTCCAAGTCATTGCTGTTTAGCAAAACTGTTAGTTGTCCAATGCTCTACATATCTGTGTTACACTGATTTCAAATAAGAGCTAAATGTTTCTCCTGGACAGAGATGTGCAACCAAAAAGAAAAAGTTAATCAAATGTAGGAGAATATATTGGAGGAAAACAGAGTGGGCGAATCAGCCACACATAATTGAATTCTACTTTAAAGTTTGCTAGGGCTGCTGACAGTGGTGTCCCCATTTTCCTTCAGCTGTGGCTCAGCAGACTCTTAGTTCTTCAGTACCACAGACACTTTTATAAGAACCACACTGAATTTAGGATGTTTAAAGTAACTTCTCAGTGTATAAAGAAACTTCCTAATGGGTTTCAAAGGGATACTGAGTTTATTTTATTTTGAAAAAAGACATTTCAAAAATAGAAGTAAGTTATGAACATGTCATCTGAAAATTATGGGGCTTTCTTGCTCATAAAACAAAGAAGCATTGTTTCCATGCCCTGAATTTAAAGACATCTGTCTATAGTGCCTTGAGTACAGGCTGTGAATAAAAGAAGATAATTTTCCTCAGTGCAAATATTTAATAAACAAAACTGTATAAACAGAATTGCTAATGGAGATCCTGCAGAAATCATGAGCAGTGAACTGAACACAAATCAATACTTGGAAAACATTAGGTGAAAAAACACCAGCACCACTTACCAGCAGGCAGGTGCTCTAATCACATGGGGATAGGGGCTGCCACCCCAGCTGGGGGCTCCTGCTGCTGCCAGCACCCACCCATCCCTACTCAACCAGCACCACTTCAGCCATCAGATTCATTTTTGCCCATTGTTAGTGCTGTAGAAATAAAATAGGTGGTCCCTCAGAATGCTGGATTAATAAAACTGATAACTTTGGAAGCCTCATAGTACCTTTTTTATACAGATTTTCAGTGGCCAATACTGTACAGCAGAGTGTATATTTTAGCTCTCCCTCATCCCCTTCTTAGTAGCAAAGATAGCTTTTCCTAGTCAGATAGTTTATTTTCTTAGCTAGATACAAACCTTCTCTAAACTTTTGATTAGAAGCCATTGCAACTTAGAACTGCAAAAAATCATTGCATCAGATCTATCCCACAAACAGCACAGGGGCCAACTGATGATGAAACACAGTACAGAGCTTTCAACACCCTGACCTTCATGTAAGATCTTGTTTACTCCTGCTCTGCTGTGTTGCCGTGATCACTCCTGTTGTTTTCCACACCAAGAGGGGAGAGCAGCAAGGTGTTCCCTGCTTCCATACCCACATAGCTCTGCATTTACACTGGGGATAAAAAACATACATTAAATCATGATGGGATGCTTTTTTTTTTTTTTTTTTTTTTTTTTTTAAGTGCATAAAGTAACAGTGCTTTCATAATACCTACATCTGCTTTTATTTGGCCTGTATATATGAAAGGGTGTGAGGAGAAGGATCAGCTGCTATTACCAGTCACAAAGCTACCTGTCTTCAGTGAGATGAAGACACTGCTCTTTTTCCTACATGTCCATGGACATTTGTTAACACAAACAGTCTTCTTCCTGCTTTATGAGGATGCATTGCCTGATCTTTTGGTTAAAAGAGTAACACAGGTACCAACCCTGTGCTCCCTGCCTGAATGTTCACTGCTGATGTACTCCTTAGCCCTGTACTAGCAAATTCCTAAATGCATGCAGCCAGTGAGATGATTATGGTAAGGCTGCACAACGACAGGCTCTAAAGAAGAGTTCCTGTGATTGAAGCCATGTGCCAAAAACACACACAGTAGTCCAATCATTCTTCTGTGAGCAAAAAGAGGTATAACAGTTATGATACATGGATACCAACAAGGTTAAAATGCAGTTACAATCCTAACAAGATTCAGAAAAAACAAAAAACAAACTGTATAATCAAAGAATTTTAGGAAGTTATAATCACAAAATAAACAAGAGAGTTAGGCAAAGCAGACTATGATAACAAAAGAGAATAAATAGAAAGCTTACCCCTATCCTGGGCTCACTCACAAAACACCAGCAAAGGCAATCTCCAGAACAGATCCTTCCCCAGTGGTAGCCAGCTCTTAAATAGGTCTAGGAGGGGTGGATTCTGGCTCCACCCTTCTGGCAGCACAGGTGAATTGCCTCTGGCTGACTCATGGCTCTCCTCAAGTGATCAATCAGAGGTTCAGGCCCTGACTCAGCAGTTCCCATACACAAACAAACAAACAAACAAAAAAACAACCAAAACCCCCAACATATCTCAAAAACTGGAGGAGTTCATCATCATTTGTTTTAAATATTTGCGTTAAAAAAAAATCTTTTGAAGAGAGGCTGAAACATTGCTCTGTTGACAACCATGACCCATTTTTTGTAGTTTTTCTTGCTTCTTGGCTAAAATTGCATAGGAGGAAGTAGTGAAGATACAGCATATTTTCAATTAAAGTGAACTGAAGCATGGGTTAAAAACACAGAACTTAAAAGATCTTTGGAAAATATTTTGTCAGCATTTTCTTATTTGAGAGAGCTTCTCAAAGATGGAGGCAAACTTCTCCTAACACAGTGATGTTTTAGTATTCTTACCTATGTTTCATCAATTTTCATGCGATTTTATCATATTTATAGTTCTCAACATCAAATTCATCCAGAACTAGGTGGTGCACTGCCATGAAGACAATAAAATCCATAGCTTTTTAAAGCAGCTAAAGTGGTTAAAAGGTTTCTGAATACCTTTAAGCAGATTCCTCACTCAGCCATTTTGCATTTTATGGGGCTTTGAATATTATGGGTAAGTCATCTTAGTAGCACTTCTTATATTCATGTAGAGTAGAAGGTAACAACCTGTCACTTTGTAGAGCATTCAAAAGTAAAAGGAATGACATTGACCTGACACAGGTACATCTTTTTATTTATACAGCAGCTTATTTAAATCACACTGTTTTCATCAAGTCTTTGTCACTGAAACTGATCAAAAGCCTAAGCCCTGGACATAAGCAGTGAAAACTGATGGGGAAGAAATCCATTACAAACGTTTTAGAACTGAAAAATTCTAAAACTGTTGCTAAATTAGAAAGACAAAAATATTGCAGAAAGGAAAAAAGTCCCACTTCAATTTGGAATAACAAATTTCATCAGAAATTATAATAGCAAAGCATGGCTGCAGGGAACAGGAATGTAGTCAAACGAGGTAATTGTTCAGGGACATAATTTCTAGGGAGATTTTGATTAATTAACGTACTTGGAGGAAAGAGAAGTATTACTTGATTTATTAAGTATTAATTCAGTGACCTTTCCCCATTCATTTCTATCAAACATCTGCAACGGTTATGTTATCTTGGTTTCTCATTCCTGATTATCTCATTTAATTATCTTTGATATTATCATGCTATTGAACTCCTATGTCACTTACTCTGTAACTATCTATGATTTAGGGTTGTTGGTTTTTTTTAATAGTTTTTCAAAATGAGCTATTTTTGAAGAGATCTATCCATTAGACCAGTTCCCAGCAATACTACTTGCTTACTGTGGTAGATGGTCTGTGCTCTGGTAGCGTTTTCAACCTGATGTCACCTATTCTAATGCTGTGTAATGCCAAAATGAAACAGTTATAGTCCGGATTTCTGTTCCTAAGACTCAAATGTGCTATTGATTCTTTTAGAGTTAAGTATCTAAATGTTATCCAAATAGTATAAAATACCTAAAGATGCTGTCAGTCCATCAGTTTTTCTTAAATCATCTCCACTTGCCCAGGAGAAGGAGAGAAAGCAGAAAAAAGAGAAAGGGAAGTTTGCTGAATCTTCATATGAAAGTACAGAGGAAAAAGAATCAGTGATCATATTCCACATTATCTGATGTGTTACCTTCTTAGCTTAACTCTTTGAACAGTTAAGAAGAGGATTTTTTTTTGTTCGTTTTTCTGTTTAAATCTTTCAGAATATTTTCTATCAGCTGTGACAACCACTGTATCCCAAATCCATTGGTATCCCGTTAGGGGGAATGGTGGACACGGAAGGAAAAAAGAGAGAGAGAGAGAGAGAGACATCTCTGAATGTTGCTACCTATATGAGAGGTTTGAATCAATAGTAATTTGCACAAAGCTTACCAAGTTAATTCTGCTTTGCATGTGAATTGTACATAGAATCTCTGAGAATCCATGTGTGGATTCTGAACCTGAACACAACAGGAATGATCTCTCAATCTTTTGTCAGAGCATGAAGTATGACTATGTGGTGAATGTTTGGACCATTTGTGTGACCACTTGCAAAGAGCCCATACTTCTAACTTTAATGTGAAGGAAGCAAAATTTTCAAACATCCAAGCCCCTATTGGGACAGTGGGCAAAGTTGTCCCTTGTAGCTTTCACCCTCTATTTCATACTGTTTTTCCACCTATTTCAATCAAGGTAAGAGACAAGATGCTCTCATTCCTTCCAACTTTTTGAGCACTCCCTTTGAAATTAAGGGATTCTAGAAACAAGTTATAGTCTTAGAAAGATGTATTTTGTCATTGGCACCATGAAGGCATATAATAAAGGAATGTTACAAATTTTCTGACTTCAGTTAATCAAGACAGGTGAACATTATGTGGTGCTACTTACTGGGACTTTGGCTCCACTGCATACAGTTAGAAGTACTTTCATTGGACTCTATCTGCACGTTTTTCAGAATTTCCAAGCAAGGCGTTCTGGTATGCTTTGAAACACTGTTGGAAGAAAGTAGCAGAAAAGATAGCAGAGCAATACTTTAAAAAAAAAAAAAACAAAAAAACCCAACAAATTAGGAATAATTTACATTACCTACAGTAACAACTAGCAATAAGGTAGCATCTAGAAACAATTAAAGCAGAAAAAAATGGGGCATGTGGTTTGAAGCCCTGTATTCCATAGTGTTTATATTAATGCTTATATTTCCATAGAAATTGTCTTAATAAAATCTTCTCCTCTCCCAGGCTACATATACCTATCATAAAATCAGAGGGCTGCCACAGTGCTCTACTCAGCCTGTTTCTCAGCATTTTAGTGACCTCTGGAGAGAAAGGATCCTCATGTGCTAGCCCATGGTTATGAGCCCTCAATGCTGTACAGCTGTGAGAAAGGCAAATGTTATCCTAGGATATTTCATCTGGGATACCTCAGCAGAAATAAGGGAGATATTAAAGTACTTTCCACTAGTGCAAACCTCATTTACTGCAACTGATTGTGGTTGCTTGCAGTCATTAAAGGACAGAGTGAGCTCTCAACAGATGCAGAAGAGCTGTGAGGTGATCTTGATTATTTAAAGAAGGAAATAAACAGAGGCAGGGGCTTAGTCCATCAAAAGTAAAGATTACTCCCTGCAAATAACTTGAAGAAATAAGCAATAGGAAGGGAACAAAAAATATTAGATCAGATACTTCTACCTTTGACCAAATAATTTAAACAGATGTAAATAATTGTAGATGAGAATTTTAAAATTATAGTTAAGTAAGCCTTTAGAACAGTCCTCCAGTTGTACCAGGGAGTGAGCTCCATTCCCTTAAAAGTGCATACTGGTTCTGTAAGATATTGATGTGGTTCCTTTGAAGATGTCATCTTGTTTTTCTGCCTCTGCTATTCTTAAAACCTTTCATTTAAATTTTTTTTCTTTAAGCTAACACCATTCTTTATGGCATTTGGCAGATCTCACCCCAACTTCTGGCTCCTGATGTTCCTGTTAAGCAGTTGCTGAACTAGTTTAGAGCTCTCCTTTCAATCTTCAGCTCCACTAGTCTTTTTCCAATTTATTTCAAATCTGATATACTCAAAAATTCCTATCCATTTAATGTAACGGGCCTATAGTCCTACCTAGACAAAAGAGATGCGTTGTTTCAGCTTTGCCTAGAGAAGTTGTTATGGTATGAAAGAAGTCTGTCAGGTCAGCATTGCAAGGGATAACAGGGCAAGAAGTCAGGTGAGATCTGAGATGAAGTATGGTCCTTTAACACTTGGACAAACTTGGAGATTGAATCTGATAACTCAGGATACAGTTTCTAGTCTACTTCATATGAAAAAAGATAAACACAAACTAAAAAAGTTCTTTGGCAACACACAAAGTAACTTTTAAAATTGTATTATTTCTATGCTTACATTAAAATTCTGGGATCATCCAGAATCATTTTTATTCTTTTTGGAGGTGTCTCAGCCATAAACTCGAACCTAAGAAATAGTTTGTATCATTTTAGAGGCACAAGAGTGATCTTTTTTAAAGGGAGGAATTTTCTGCTTTCATGAAGATAAAGAGATGCATTAAATTTCTGTTCTTTAATTATGCTTACGATCTGCATCTACAGGGTTCATAATCATTAGCAGACTGGTTATTTAATGCTGAGCATATCCCTAAATGAGGAAATAAAACAACAGGAGCATCCTTATGTTTCATTAATGATTGATTATTTAACCTCCATAATATGATCGCCTGGTAAATTACCTGGTGCTTTGACCTTTCTGCTGGAATAAAGTACCTTTTGCTCTTGCTTAAAAAAAAAAAGAAAAAAAAGATGCTCTTTTAATGACATTTGGCATGACACTGTGGAAGGCATAAAAAAAAAAAAAAAAGATTGGGAGGTTCATAAACTTGTTTGCATGTATTTTATTTGAATTATGCTAAGATCTAAATAAGTGGAAGTATAGAAAGAAGATCTACCTGCTTTCACTGGCAGTAAAGTATGGTTGTGCAAAAAGGTACCATTTTAGGACAGACTACAACTGCAGTATATTGAATTACTTCCATTCTATTTGGGTGACAGTAGTTTGACAGTAGTTTAACATTTGGTGATAAAACTGAAATCAATACCACTCCTCTAATGTGTCCCTGATAACAAGAGAGTACCCTGACCTAAATGAAAAATAAGTATGTATAGACCAAGATGGGGGAAAAAAGCAAGAGAAGAAACTAGGAAAAAAATGAAAGGAATAATAAAATATTTATGCGGACACTAAAATAAAGATATCACATTAATCCAAATAGTGCACTATTGTACTTTTTGTGCATTCAGGAAAACAATAAGCGTATCTGCTTACTTCGAAATATAA